ATCCCATCTTTAGTATATCAACAATCTTTTACTAGCTACAATTAATTCTGAAGGGTTACTGGACTTGAAACGTTAACTCTGCTTTGTCTCCACAGATGCTGCCAGATCAGGTTAGAAAAAGTTAGGTTGTTTTTGCTAGTGTCGAAGACTGCGGGGCTACCTGAAAGAAGTATAATTATGAGATACATGGATAGGGTGGATAGTCTGAGTCTTTTTTCAAGGGTGGAAATATCAAATACTAAGGGGCATAGCTTCAAAGTGAGAAGAGGAAAGTGCAAGGAGATGTGTGAGGCAAGCTTTTTTACACAGACGATGGTAGGTGCCTAGAATGCATTGTCAGGGGAAGTGGTAGAAGCAGATATGATAGCAACAATTAAGAGGCATTTAGATAGATGCATGAACAGACAGTTGATAAATTGGAACTCCTCCATGTTGAATAACACTTAGAGAAAGCACTGAGAGTGGCAATGGTACTCTGAATAGGGGGTTTTAAAGTCCACCACCAACAGTGGCTCAGTATCAGCACCACTTGTTGAGCTGGTTGAGTCCTAAGACATAGCTCCTAGACTGGGACTGCAGCAGTGATCAGACAATTAGCGAGAGAGAAAAACACATTGACCTCATCCTCACCAATTTGCCTGCTGCAGATGCATCTGTCCATGACTGTATCCGTAAAAGACTACTGCAGAATCTTCCTGAACACAAAGTCCCATCTTCATATTTAGAATACTCTACTTTGTTTGTGTGGCACTATCACCGTGCTGAGTGGTGACTTTGAACAGATACAGCATCTCAAAACTGGGCATTCACGAAGTGCTGTGGGCCATCAGCAGCAGCAGAATCATATTCTAACACTATTTGCAACCTTATAGCCTGGCATATCCCCCACTCTACCATTATAATCAAGTCAGGAGATCAACCCTGTTGCAAGAGGGCAGGACAGCATGTCAGCAGCAGCACCAGATATACCTATAAATGAGGTGTCAACCTAGTGAAGCTATCAGTATTGTGCCCAGAATTGGATACTACATTCCAGTAGAGAATAAAGCAACATTTTATAATTTCCCACCTCAATTTTGTTGTTAGTTCTCTTATGCATTGGTTTGCAAACTGGAAATTACTACTGATTTCCTCTCATACTACAGTCTAAAGAGGATAGGAATTCCAGCACCCATAACACTTTTTGTCATTCATTTATGGGATATAGGCCTTGCTAGCTGGGCTGACGTTTATAATCCATCCCTAATTACCTTTGAGAAGGCTGTTGAGAGATGCCTTTGTGAATTGTTACAGTCTATTTGATGTAGGTATATCCACAACGACATTAGGGAGGGAGCTCCAGGAGTTTGTCCCAAGAAGCTGCTTCTTTCTCTTGCAGTACCAATTTGCTAGCACCAGATATTGTAGTTTCACGATATTTTAAAGAGTGACATATTCCAAACAGGATGGTGAAGGGTTTGTAAGAAAACTTGCAAGAAGTGGCGTTCCCATGTATCTGCTGCTCTTGCTGTCCTAAATGGCAGTGGTCATGGATTTGGGAGGTGCTGCCGCTGGAGCTTTGGTTAGGTTCTGCAGTGCCTTATGTAGATGGCACATACAGCAATGCTTGAGCATTGGTGGTAGAGGAAGTGAATATTGACAGATGTGCCAATCAAGCAGGCTGCTTTGTCCTGGACAATGTCAAGCCTCTTGAGTGTATGTCAAGATTTTTCAGTGTTTGTGACAAGTATCGCAGAGCATCACACTTCTGACTTTTATTTTTAATCCATTAAGGGCATGTGGTACTTCAGTGTATGGAACAGCATTTATTGCACATCCTTAATTGCCATTGAGGTAGTGGTGAGCTGTCTTCTTAAACCACTGCAATTTATGTGGTGTGGGTACAGCACAGTACTGTTAGGGAGAGATGCCAGGATTTTAGTCAGTGACAATGAGGAATGGTAAGGCAAGATGATGTGTGGCTGAGAGGGAAACCTATGGGTGGTGGAATTTGTAAATATCTGTTGGTCTTCGAAATGGTGGAGTTTGCAGTTGTGGAATGTGATTACAAACCTTGGCAAGTGTGTCTTTTGGATAGTACTTATTGCTGTCTGTGTCATTAGTGGAGGGAGTGGAAGGTTGTGGATGTGGTGTCAGTCAAGCAGGCTGCTTTATCCTGGACAGTGTCAAGCTCCTTGAGTGTTGTAGAACTGCATGCATCCAGGCAAGTGGGAAGTATTCATTTACACTCCTGACTTATGACTTCCAGGTCACAGGCAGACTTTGAGGTATTAGGAAGTGAGTTATTCAATGCGGAATTGCTAGTCTCTGACTTATTATTTTACCCAATATATTTACATGGATGATTCAATTCAGTTTTTGAAATGCAATGGTTGGATTCTCTCTTGTTGGAAAAGGTCATTGCTTAACATTTGTGACACAAATGTTACCAGATACTTATCAGCCCAAGCCTGAATATTATCCAAGTCTGGCTGCATATGTGCACAGGCTGCTACTGTAGTTATGAGCAATGCTGAACATTACACAATAATCAGCGAACATTCCCATTTCTGACCTTATGCTGGAAGAGGTTATGCTGGAAGAGGTAATTACGAGAAAACAAAGATAGTGGGCTGAGGTTTTAACCCATGGAGAAAGCCACAGAATTCAAATGAAAAATTGCTGACCAAAAACTGACTTTTATCTCTCTGCTTGGAAGCTGCCTGACTGGACATTCTCCAGAATTTGTCATTTAAAATAATAGTTTACTTTCCTGCCTTCCCCACCCCCCACCCCCATAACTCTTGATGCCCTCAATGATTAAAAATCTGTATATCTCAACCTTGAATATATTTAATAACCCAGCCCTCTGCAGCAAAGATTTTTATAGATTCACAACCCTCTGAGAGAAGAAATTCCTCATCTCAGTCATAGATGTTTGAACCCTTATTCTAAGATTATGCCCTCTGTTTGACTCTCTCGATTATGACTCTGGCACAAGGGGAAACAATCTTTCTGCATATACCCTGTCAAGAACCCTAAGAATCTTACTTGTTTCAATAAGATTGCCTCTCATTCTTCTATATTCCAAAGACTGCAGGCTCAACCTCTCCTCATAAGATGGTGCCTCCATACCTGGCATCAGTCTAATAAAGCTTTTCTGGACTGCCTCCAAAGCTGGTGGATCTTTTCGTATATAAGGGGCCCAAAACTGTTTACAGTATTCCAGCTCTGGTCTGACTAATACTTTGCATAGTTTTAGCAAGACCTCCCTATTTTTATACTCCACTCCCATTGAAATGGAAGGTCAACATTCCATTTTCCTTCTCTATTACCCACTTAACATGGATGCTTTCTGCAGTCTTTCTCCACGTAAATAATACGCAGCTGTCAAGTTTTTGCCCACTCACTTAACCTAGAAGTCTCCTGGACTTGATGGGATGCATTCTAGACTATTAAAGGAAGTAGCTACAGAGACAATGAATACAATGGTGTGATCTTCCAGGAATTATTTCATGTTGCAAAGAAATTAATTGTTTGCATATCAGGAAAGACGTAAACGATACAGAAAATGCATTTCAAACATAAAGCACAGCCAATTAATGCAGTGAGAGCTTCCCAAAATTTCTCCCATTGTGAGAGTTGGAAATTGTGAGAAATGAGACAAAGAGGGGGAGGGATAAGGAAGTCAGTCACAGAGTATGAGGGAGACAAACAGGAGGCTGGAAGAACACAGCAGGCCAGGCAGCATCTGGAGGAAAGGAGCAGTCAACGTTTTGGGTATAACCCTTCTTCAGGGCTGGCAGTTATAGCTGAAACGTTGACTGCTCCTTTCCTTGGATTCCAGCATCTGCAGGTTTTTTTTTGTCTCCAAGAGTGTGAGGGCCTGTCAGAGAGGTAGCACAGCTGGAGCACAATGGTAGTCATTGCTGCCTCAGAGCTTACAACTTCACTGGGGGTCCTGGTTTACTGGATACAATTCATTCCTTTTTTGTGTTTTGCAAACAGCAATGGTTAGAAATTTGTTCAGCTGGTTCTTTTGGAGATGTAACAGAAATAAAAGTATGAGAGCTAACAAAACCTTGTGACATGCAGGGCGGGTGCTTGATTGCTCCATAATAAATGAAGCCTAACAAATTTATGACTGCACAGGTTTGAAACACAATCTTTGACATCAATCTGTTGACAAATTGTTAATTGGCATTATTCATTTCACTTAAGTAGTCAGCACTTTAATTTTGATAATCTGAACTAAAATAGTACAGGTGAAGGGATTTAATGCAGTCAATCTTTCAAGTAATAAAGCCAAGTGTTTGCCAGTTCTGAATGTGATATAATTCGATTACCACAAACATGGTGAGGTTACTCAGATAGTGGACAGCAAAATTCCTCCAGGCTGAGTCCTGCAGAAGGTCAGATTGGATAAACTTAGACATTACAAGCTGAGTTATTTTTTTTAAATTCTTTCACGGAACATGGGCATTGCAGGTTAGGCCAGCATTTATTGCCCATTCCTAATTGGTGGTGAGCTGCCTTCTTAAACCAGTGTAGTCCACACGAGGTTATTGCACAATGCTGTTAAAGGAGGTGTTCCAGGATCTTAAGCCAGTGATAGTGAAGCAAAGACGATACACTTCCAAGTCATGATCGTGAGGATTATGGTTAGGATTTTTGTAATACAGGTGTACCTAGACCCAAATAGCAGAAATTTGAGGTGGCAAATCACCACCATCTTCAAGGGATGGGCAATAATTGCTGGTCCAGTCAGAAAACCCCACATTTCCTGTTTAAAAAAATCCTCAGTTTGTAATGTCCGAGTTCGTTTGACCTTGAGTACTATTGCTCAGCCTCCAAAGCACACTGCTGCACCATTCATCTCAAGGCATTATTTGTCAAGCTGTAGCTCTGTGCCAAACAGACCCCGTAGAAACAACAGCTATCAAGAGAAAACGGTTCATGTGGTGACAGCATTAACTTTATAAATTATGTTTTTCTTCCAGAAACACTCAACCACCATAAAGAAAAGTGCAAAATTGTTTTACTGGTAATATTGAGAATCTTTTAAACAATTATATGAAGGCGGTTCCAGTTCATTTCATAATATCACAGAGAATATCCATTATGACATAACATTAATTCTCTTTCTGTGACAAATCAGTCTAGGACTCGATAATATTTAATCAGTAGACCTGCAGTTAAACCTACTGCACAGCTGTCTCACAGCTTGTCAGTTAAACATAATAGAGAGGGTGTTAACTTTTTCCGTCTTAACCTGCAGAAACAACACCTAAAGATGCTGGCCATTCAAAACATGCTTTGAACTATAACATATTCAGATAATTACTAGTATGTAGTAATAATGAGAACTAGGAACCATTTTAGGTGATGATTCAAGATCATGATCTGAGATTTGAGATAACTGTGATGTAAACTGGAGGTTTTCCAACCTTTGGTGTATTAGTACAACATAGTAAATGAGCCCAATGATAACACTGGTATAAATTAAACCCTATACTCACAAAGTCCTAGAATCATACCACAAGTAGGCAGGAAACATGACAGTCAGTGGCAGGTAGCAAGATGATACAAGTTAAATTCTAACAGACTTCCTGAGTTCAGCCTACATTAATCCCTCTTGAAGTGGTTCTAACATTGACTTGAGCCACTTCTACAATCAAACAAATTGCTGTATTAGTCAGAGTTTTAAATTTTCCTGAAACACTCGGTTCTTTAAAAGGCCTGGGGATTCAATCTGCACTAAGACTTCAACTATCTGTACAAACAAGCTCAAACTTGCGCTAGCCTAGTTGCTGTGGGGGGGATCTGGACGTCAGGGAGTAAATTACAGCTTGTGATTATATCCATCTTTTCTGTCACAGATCTCAGATCATCCAAAATTAAGCGAATACTGTGCGATGCATTAATTATCCCGTTCTGGGTGTTGCTCAGGTGGCTGGTGGCGATTCGGATCTCCTTGGTTGCACTCTCATACATCTGCTTCACTGCCTGTTCCACATTCTGGTGAAGACGCCCATTACTTTCCCTCAGCTTCTGTTGCAATAAGGTACTATAACGCCCTTGGTGGCGAATCTTCACAGCTGGTTTCTCCTCTACCGCTGTCAGGATGTCTGACTGCTCCTCCCGGATCACTATCAGCGGTGGCAGGCCACGCTGAATGGCCTGCTGGATATCGTGCACCGCTGTTGCACAGTCTTCCTCCTCCTCTTCAGTTTCCGATGCTTCACCAGCCACTTTGGTTCCAGTCTGCAAGATAGCTGCCGGTGCGGAGGATGTTAGATACAACTCCTCCTCCGAGTCTGTCTCAGATGCCTCTCCCTGAATAATGGTCTGATATTGTGTGGAAGTCATTTTTTTTGCTCACCTGAGGAACAGAACACATGACTGTTATTTTTTGCACTTAATAATATTTCCTTGCAATTCAACTTCCTCTTAGAGGAATGTATAGGATCATTGAATCCCTACAGTTCAGAAAGAGGCCATTCAGCCCATCAAGTCTGAACAAACTCTAAGAGCATCCCATCCAAACCTCTACTCTATCCCTGTAACCCACATTTACCAAGGCTAATCCATCTAGCCTACACATTCCTGGATGCTACAGACAAATCATTTTGGCCAATCCACCTAACTTGCACATCTTTCGACTATGGGAGGAAACTGGAGCACATAAATGAAAACACAGGGATAATGTGCAAACTCCATATAGACAGTCACCCTTAGGTGGACTTGAACCTAGGTCCCTGGTGCTGTGAAGCGGTAGTGCTAATCACTGAGCTACTATGCCATCCAGTGTAGATAAATGTAGGTACTGTATACAACGATCTGGATCATTGTCGTCCCCTGGACAGTTAGAATCACCTGGAACACAAGGGTTTGGAACTGAATTTCCAAGATGATCCTTCTCGGCCTCCCCAAACTGGTGCAAATTTCAACTTTCCTCATCTTTCAGGGAGTTGTGTGGTTTTATAGAGTCATGGAGTCACAGAGATGTACAGCATGGAAACAGACCCTTCAGTCCAACTCATCCATGATGACCAGATATCCCAAATTAATCTAGTCCCATTTGCCAGCATTTGGCCCATATGTCTCTAAAGTCTTCCTATTCATGTACCCATTCAGATGCCTTTTAAATGTTCTTATTGTACCAGCCTCCACCACTTCCTCTGGCAGCTCATTACACTTACCACCCTCTGCATGAAAAATGTTGCCCCTCAGATCCCTTTTAAATCTTTCTCCTCTCGGCTTAAATCTATGCCCTCTAGTTTTGGACTCCGGACTCCCACACCCTGGAGCAAAGACATTGGCTTTTCACCCTATCCATGCCCCTCTTGATTTTATAAACTTCTATAAAGGTCACCCCTTGGCCTCTGATACTCCAGGGAAAACAGCCCCAGTCTATTCAACCTCTCCCTATAGCACAAACCCTACAACCCTGGCAACATCTTTGTAAATCTTTTCAGAATCCTTTCAAGTTCACGATATCCTTCCTATAGCAGGAAGGCCAGAATTGCATGCAGTATTCTAAAAGTGGCCTAATCATGACCTCCCAACTCCTATACTCAATACATTGATCCACAAAGGGAAGCATACCGAACACCTTCTTGACTATCTTATCTACCTGCGACTCTACTTTCAAGGAATTATGAACATCCATTCCAAGGTCTCTTTGTTCGGCAACACTCCCCAGGACCTTATCATTAAGTGTATAAGTCCTGCCCTGATTTTCCTTTCCAAAATGCAGCACCTCACATTTATCTAAATTAAACTCAATCTGCCACTCCTCGGCCCATTGGCCCATCTGATCAAGATCCCACTGTACTCTGAGGTAACCTTCTTCGTTGTCTACTACACTGCCAATTTTGGTATCATCTGCACACTTACTAACCATACTTCCTATGCTCACATCCAAATCATTGATATAAATGATGAAAAGCAGTGGATCCAGCACCGACCTTTGTGGCACACTGCTGGTCACAGGCCTCCAGTCTGAAAGGTAACCCTAAACCACCACTCCCTGTCTTCCACCTTCAAGCCAGTTCTGTATCCAAATAGCTATTTTTCCCGGTATTCCATGCAATCTAACCTCGCAAACCAGTTTACCATCAGGAACTTTGTCGAACGCTTGACTGAAGTCCATTTAGATCACGTCCACTGCTCTGCCCTCATCAATCCTCTTTGTTACTTCTTCAAAAAACTCAATCAAGTTAGTGAGTCACGATTTCCCACGCACAAAGCCATGTTGACTATCCCTAATCAGTCCTTGCCTTTCCAAATACATGGAAATCCTGTCCCTCAGGATTCCCTTCAACAACTTGCCCACCACCGATGTCAGGGTCACCAGTCTATATGTTCCCTGGCTTTTCTTTACTACCTTTCTTAAATAGTGGCACCACATGATCCAACCTCCAGTCTTCCGGCACTTCACCTGTAGCTATCAATGACACAAATATCTCAGCAAGGGACCCAGCAATTACTTCACTAGCTTCCCACAGAGTTCTTGGGTATACCTGGATCAGGTCCAGGGGATTTATCCACCTTTAAAGATGTCCAGCACTACCTCTTCTGTAATATGGACATTTTTCAACACGTTGTTAATCATTTCCCTATGTTCTATATCTTCCATATCCTTCTCCACAGTAAACACTGATAAAAGATACTCCCCCATTTCCTGCAAGTCCTCACATAGGCGGCCTTGCTGATCTTTAAGGGGCCCTACTCTCTCCCTAGTTACCCTTTTGTCCTTAATGTATTTAGAGCCATAGAATAATACAGCGTGGAAACAGGCCCTTCGACACAGACACATCCATGCTGACCATGGTGCCCACTCAGCTAGTTCCAATTGCCCGCATTTGGTCCACATCCCTCTCAACCCTTCTCATGTACCTATCCAAATGTTTTTTTTTTAAGTGTTGCAATTATACCTGCCTCAACCATTTTCTCTGGCAGCTCATTCCATACACACACCACTCTGTGTGAAGAAGTTGTCCCTCAGGTCTTTCTTAAATCTCACCTTAAATCTATGCCCTCCCATTTTCAATTCCCGATCCATGGGGAAAAAAGATATGCGTACATCCTATCTATGCCCTTCATTATTTTATAAACCTCAATAAGGTTACCCCTCATTCTCCTACGTTCCAAGGAATAAAGTCCTATCCTGGCGAACCTCTCCCTATAACTCAGACCTACTAGTCCTGGCAACATTCTTGTAAATCTTCTTTGCACACTTTCCAATTTAACTATAAATAGGGTGATCAAAACTATACACATTGCTTCAAGTGCAGCCTCACCAAAGACTTATCCAACTGTAACATAATGTCCCAACTCCTATACTCAATGCCTCAACTAATGAGGGCCAGCATGCTAAATGCTTTCTCCACCACCTTGTCTACTTGTGACACTGCTTTCAATAAACTAGGTACTTGTACTCCTAGGACCCTTTGTTCCACAACACTCCTCAGGACCTTACCATTTACAGTATAAGTCCTACCTTGTTTGACTTTGCAAAGTGTAGCACCTCACACTTAGCTGTATTGAACTGCATTTGCCCATCCTCAGCCCAGCTCCCCATCTGATCAAGATCCTTCCGTAACTTTTGATAACGTTCCTCACTATCAACGATATCTCCGCATTTTGTATCATCTGTAAACATACTAACAATGCCTTTTACATTCACATGCAGATCATTTATGTAAATAACAAACAACAAATAATAAAGGTCCCAGCACTGACCCCTACGGCATACCACTAGTCTCAGGCCTCCAGTCTGAGAAACAGCCTTCAACCATCACCGTCTGCTTCTTACCATCAAGTCAATTTTGAAACCATTTAGCTAGCTCTCCCTGGATCCCATGCGACCTAACCTTCACGAGTAGCCCACCGTGCGGGACCTTGTCAAAGGCTTTACTAAAGGCCATATAGACGACATCCACTGCCCTACCCTCATCTATCCTCCTGGTTACCTCTTTGAAAAACTCAAAAATTTGTTAGACATGACTTCCCACGCACAAATCCATGCTGACTATCCCTAATCAGATCTTGACTATCCAAACGTTGGTTGATCCTGTCCCTCAGTATCCTCTCCAATAAGTTGCCTACCGCTGATGTCAGGCTCACTGGCCTGTAGTTCCCTAGTTTGTCTTTGCTACCATTTGTAAACAATGGAACAACATTAGCCACCCTCCAGTCTTCCAGAACTTCACCAGTGGCTAAAGATGAAGGAAAAATCTCTGCAAGGGCCTCGGCAATTTCTTCCCTAGCCTCCCACAACATCTGAGGGTTTCTCTACCTTATTGCACTTTAAGGCTGCAAACGCCTCTTTTCTGGTAATAGGTATGCTGTCCAAACATCCCCACGTGCTTCCCTTGTTTCCTCAGCATCCATGATTCGCTCCTCCGTAAACACGGAGGAGAAAAATTCATTAAAAATCTCCTCCATCTCCTGTGCTTCCACACAGACAGCCATGCTGATCTTTAAGGGGACCGATTCTCTCCCTAGCCACCCTTTCACTCTTGGTGTAGCTATATAACCTCTTGGGATTATCTTTAACCTTATCTGCTAAATCCATCTCATACTCTCTTTTTGCTCTTCTGATTTCCCTCTTAAGTGTGCTCCTACACTTTTTGCAGTCATCTAGGGATTCACTTGAGCTTGATAGTTCAAATCCAATGTATGCCTTCTTTTCCTGACCACAGCCGCAATATCCCTCGTCAGCCAGGGATCCCTAAACCTGCCAGCTTTTCCCCTTACCCTAACAGGGTCATACTGTCCCTGACTCTTGATGTCACAGTTTTAAAAGCCTCTCATTTGCCAGTTGATCCTTTTCCTTCGCCACTTGATCCTTTTCCTTCAAACAGACTCACCCAATCGACCTCTGCTAGATCCTGCCTAATGGCCCCAAAATTGGCCCTGCTCCAGTTTAGCACTTTAACCTGTGGAACTGTCCTATCGTTTCCCATAAGTATGTTAAAACCAAGAGAGTTATGGTTACCAGACCCAAAGTGCTCTCTGACTGACACTTCAGTCACTTGCCTGACCCGATTTCCTAAGAGGAGGTCCAGTGTTGTACCCTCCTGAGTAGGGCCCTCAACATATTGATATAGGAAACCTTCTTGGACGCATCTGACAAAATTCCACCCTGTTGGGGCCTTTTACATTCTGGGCAGCCCAGTCATTAAGGGGAAATTAAAATCTCCAACCAATACTACTCTATTATTCCTACAGGTATCTACAATCTCTCTACACATCTGCTCCTCTGGTACCCGCTGGCTATTTGGGGGTCTATAATACAGTCCCAACAGAGTGACTGTCCCCGTCTTCTTGTAGAATTCCTTTGGATTCTTCTTAACCCTATTTGCCAAAGCTATCTCATGTCCCTTTTCTGCCCCTCTGATTTCCTTAAGTATATGTCTACTGCTTTTATACTCTTGTAGGGATCCACTCAAGAACTCTGCTGTCTATACCGGATATATGCTTTCTTCTTCTTCTTGACCAAAGCCTCTGGGTGGGGTGGTGACAAACAAGGCATCACAATGTGTGGGATAAGTTGATAAGCAGCAGGTTTATTCTTGTCTGTCATGATTCAGATGCAAACACAGCTAACCAATGAGAGCTGCAAGCTATCCTTCTAACCAGAGCGCGAGCCTTGGAATGATCTTGTTGGCTAGCAGAGTGGTCCAGCGACCCATTCATGTATCTGGACAGACACTGCTTCACAGTTAATATCAGCAACAAACAGATTTTGTTCATGATCCAAAACTTCCAATGAGCAGCAATCAAAATTGAATTGTCACTCCATTCGTTTTTGCCTTGGCCTTAAAAGTAAATTATTCTGCCTCCTGGTAAATAATCCAGAAAGTGTGAGGGTAAGTAGATAGAGGGAAACATTCAAACAGACAATTCAGAACATTCAACAAAAATACATGCCATTGAACTTCATTTTTAGATTAGACAGAGGATCACTTAACGGACATGAAGTAAACAGTAGGCTAAGATATGGCATTTTCAAGTTGGCAGCCTGTGCTTAACAAAATGCTACAAGGATCAGGGTCAGGGGCTCAAGTATTTACACTTTACATTATTTTCTGTCTTAGTGTCAATCATTAATGTATCCTAAGATTATGAATGTGATGCTTTATAAGATGTATGCGTTTCGGCATGGTCTGTTTCATTCAAGCTAAAAATGGATTAGTGAAGTGAGTCGTTCAATCTGTGCTAGTTGTTGCTCAGCATTAGGCCAGGTGGCATGATGAGAGCACAGAGTTACTTAGAAAATACCCACACCTAAAACAAAGGCAAGAACAGCAGGTGCTGACTGTGAGCAGACTTTCTGTCTCTAGGATTTCAGAAAGGAAAGAGTCTGGTTTCAAAGGGAGACAAAGCACTGCAGCTGGTGTGCAAAGTACACAGTCTGTATGCTGCCTTTCTGTGATCTACTCTGCAGAATGCAGGAGGAAGATGGTCTCTGGCTGAAGAGACTCGTGTGGTAATTTAGTGCATTTGGAAGATTTGTCCTGGTGTGATGAAGGGATAGAAGAATTGCCAGAGTGGATCTTCCTGCTAGTATTCAGTTTTGAATTTGTTTCAAAGTTAGGACTTGGCAAAATGCAGAGAAATGAATGCGTCAGCAGCTGGGAGTCAACAGTCAGACTACACAAGGAGAGGTGGACAAATTCACCCCAGAAAAACCATCAGTAAGCCAAGAAGAAGATGGGGGTGGCAAACTCAAGAAATATTGTATGGGGGCAATATTACCATACATTATGTCCCCTCTAGTTTGGGGCTGAACATTTGAAAGCATAGGAAAACAACAGGCAATTTGACTGTACTGGTGAATAAGTATAGAAGACAGAACCAAAGAGGGGTTGTTCAGTGGTTAGCACTGCAGCCTCACAGCGCCAGGGACCCGGGTTCGATTCCAGCCTCGGGTGACTGTCTGTGCGGAGTTTGCACGTTCTCCCCGTGTCTGCGTGGGTTTCCTCCGGGTGCTCCGGTTTCCTCCCACAATCCAAAGATGTGCAGGCTAGGTGGATTGGCCATGCTAAATTGCCCATAGTGTTCAGGGGTGTGGGTTATAGGGCGATGGGTCTGGGTGGGATGCTCCAAGGGTCGGTGTGGACTTGTTGGGCTGAAGGGCCTGTTTCCACACTGTAGGGATTCTATGATTCTATGAAATACAGATTCTGGCTTTCCCACAAAACTGTTCCAGCTCATTCACTGGTATGTTATGTCTCTGCTGCTCCTTCAGACTAAGAAGCTATGATTGTAGGAACAGAACGGATGGTAGGTAGGAATTGGAAGCGCTGGAGAAATTATCCGAGACGACAAAGTACTTGCCTGGAACTTTCCATAGTCTTTGGATCCAGACCTAGTAGGAACAAAGAGAGAGAAAGGCTGATGGCAGCTGATAATACAGAAATAAGGCCAGGAGTAAACATGGAGGAGCCACTCGTACTGAGATCAAAGGCAGCAGCAAGCAAAGAGAAGGTCCGTCACATGTGGTGATGGGTGGGGACTTGGGAGGCAACAGGAAATGATCAATCACAGATTCATTTGGTCTTTCATTAGGTCACAAATTATTTATGCATTTCGCACTGCATCAAATAGTTGAAGTTTGAGATAAATCTGATCTTAGTTCATGATTGTAAACTGAAAATTATATTTAGGGAGCAAACAGACCTTTCTGATAATTTCTGTGTTCTGGTTTTGACCCATTATTGCATGAACCTTATGCCACCACATAAAGGGATTACTTTGCAAAGCAAATTCTAAAATCTAACACTGACACAGAGTTGACATGCTATTTTGATCTGATTAATTCTAGGCTTGAGGTGGGTGAGCTGCAATACATTAAAGAGACTGTTTCCTGACTAGTGCATCTATAAAAAGGAAAACCTTCAGAAAAACTGATCGCAATCATTGTTGTTTTTAGTTTGTTTATTACAATGAATCTTAAAACTTGAAATATTAAACAATTCTTTTAAGTTGGTCACTGGGAAATCAAATATCTTGTAAAAAGTTAAACATGGAATGCAGCAAAGATGATGACAATACAAAGCATGGAGGAAACACAAGTTGTGACGAGTGAACACAGAAGCTGCAAAGAGATATAGACAAGAGTGGCCACCAAGATAGCAGATGGAGCATAGTGTGGGCGATAATGAATATATTTACTTTGCTCTTAAAATTAGAAAAGCAGGCTTTTTAAAAAGGCAAGGAGCTTGTAAATGCGGATGTTGAAAGGAACTTGAACGTACACGTGTAAGGAACACAGGAGTTGAGCATAGGAAGACAAACAGGCAGTTCAGGAAAACAGACAGTTGGCAGCTTAGGAAGACAAAGATGTTGGTCTTTGTTGCAAAGGAGAATTGCAGTAAAAGAATAAATATATCCATGCATCAAGGTGGAATTTAGGTTCATCAAGCCATGGATCAACGTTGCTTCAAAGACTGCAAGAAGGTATGCCAAGAGCAGCACCAGTCATACCCACACAGCAGGTGTCAATCTGGTGAAGCTGCAGTTCTGAGGAAAGGTCACCGGATCCGAAACATTAACTCTGATGTTTTCTTCAGAGATGCTGCCAGACCTGCTGAGCTTCCAGCAACTTCTGTTTTTGTTCCTGCCATGTAGGATTACTTGTGTGGCAAACGTTGCTCTGAGTTCTGCAGTGATGAATGAATGGTGGACAATTACACCATTAAACAACTCTTCAAAAATTCCCATCCTCAATGATTGAGGAGCCCAATACATCAGTATGAAACTGAATCATTGCCAAGCAGAAGTGTAAAGTTGATGATGCACTGACACCTCTCCAAAGTCCCAGCACCACAGATGTCATTCATCAACTATATCCATGTGATATCAAGAAACCAGCTGAAGACACTGAATCCTGTAAAAGCTACAGGCTCTGACAACATTCTAAGAACAGTACTGAAAACTTGTGCTCCTGGGCTTGCCATGCCTCTAGCCTAACTGCTCCAATATAGCATCAACCAATCACCACTCCCCGAGTCTACTGCAAATCAAGAGGAAAGTGATGGGAGTGTTCAACAGTGCTAACAACTTACACTGTTGACTGATACTCAGTTCTACCAGGACTACTCAGCCCTTGACTTCATTACAGATTTGGTACAAGTGTGGTCTAAAGAGTCAAATTCTAGAGGTGAGATGAGACAGTCTGCCCTTTACTAATCTAATACCTGGAATGAGCAAATTACCTTATGAGGAAAGGCCAGACAGGCTAGGCATGTATCCTCTGCAGTTTGAATGAGGCAGAGGCGATTTAATTGAAATAATACCAGATCCTGAGGAGACTTGACCAGGTGGAAATTGAAAGGGCGTTTCACTGTGTGGAAGAATCTAGAACTAGGGCCATAATTTAAAAAATAAGGGGTCCCCCTTATTTAAAACTGAGATAAGAAAACTTTTTTTTTCTCTAAAAGAGTTGAGTTTTTGGAGCTCCCTTCTTTAAAAGGCAGTCATAGAGTCATTGAGGTCAATTGCACCATAAAAGGCCCTTTGGCCATCAAGTCTGCGCTAGTTGAAAACAAGTATCTGACTATTCTAATCCCATTTGGCCCAGAGCCTCGTATGCCTCACCATCGCAACTGCACATCTAAATACTTCTTAAATGTTATGAGGACTTCTGTCTCTATCACCCTTTTAGACAGTGAGTTCCAGACTCTCACCATCCTATTGGTGAAAACATTTTTCCTCAGATTCCCTCTAAACCTCCTGCCTCTTCCTTTAAATATATGCCCCCGGTCACTGATCTCTCCAACAAAGAGAAATGTTCTTTCCTGGGGCCCTCAATTTCATACAATCTCAATCATGTCTCTCCTCAGTCTACTCCGCTCCAAGAAAAACAGCCCCAGTCTATCCAATCTCACTTCATAGCACAGGCAACATTCCCAATAAATCTCCTCTGCACCGGGTCTAGTGCAAACACATCCTCTGATAAAGTGGATTCCTGAACTGCTCATAATGCTCTAGCTGCGGTCAAACCAATATCTTATACTGTTCCAGCACAACATGTCTGAATAGATTGATTAGAAAACATGTACCCTGAGGAAGAGAGGGCTCTTGTGGCACAGTGGTGGTGTCTATACCTCTGAACCAGGAAGTCCAGGTTCAAGTCCTCCCTGCTCTAATAACATCTTTGAAGAGGTTGATTAGGAAAATATCTACCTTAAATATCTATAAATATCTATCCTCATCCATGTTTTGCTGATAAGTGCATAATGTTCAGCATCATTTGAGAGTCTTCAGGTCCTGAAACAGTCTGTGTCCAGACGCAACAAGGTGTACATTCAAGCCTGAGCTGATAAATGGCACGTAACATCAGTGTCACACAAGTATCAGGCAGTGACCATCTCCAACAAGAGAGACTCTAACCATCATCTGTTGACATTCAATAGCATTACTATTTCTGAATGCATCACGGTCAGCATCCATTAAACAGAACCTGAAGTAGACCTACTATATAAATACTGTGCCCTCAAGAACAGGTCCGAGATTAGCAATTCTGCAGCAGCAGTAGATTATGATGTTTTGCAGATTGGGGAAAGATGTGTAGTGGTGGACATCAGCAGTTGGTTTTGAGGCCTTCGTTCTTTTTTCCAGATACATATTAAAGAATTATAACTTGATATACAGAGCACAATTTCAAAATTGAAATGATTAAAAACCAGAAACATTGCGAAGTGAGAGGAGGATGGTGCAGAATGTCAAAAGGACATAGTCAAGTCAGTGTACCAGGCAGACAAGTGTCAGATGTAGAGAGGTAAGAAGCAATTCATTCTGGTAAAAAGACTGCAGAAAGACAATTAAAATAAAGGATACATTTCTAAAGAAGATGCAGAAGCAGAGATAGCTAGTTAAATATGTGTATAACTCACTGAAGTTGACAGGATAGTTTGAGTGAGCAGTTATAAAGCATATAGTACGCTAGGCTTTATTAACCCTAACCTTATCGCAATGAGTACAAAAGCAAGGAGGTTGTATTAAACTTGGCTAAGGAATCAAATGGAATATTTTGTAGTTCTGTTAGTTGCTGCAAGCTTGGTTTTCTGGAGTTGAGCCGGGAACTGGTGGGTTTTCTGTGTCTCTAAAGTTAATACTTGACTCATTAACTAGTTGTCTGTATTCTGTAGTGATTTCTTTTAAAAGCAGTTTTTGAAGACTGGGTGTAGAGTGAATGGATTTGGAGCACAAATCGACTTGTGCTTATTTTACATTGCTTCGACACAGCATGATAAATGATAGGGCTGCAGAGGTTTTTTAACAGAGTACAGTACTGGAACCTGTTTTTTTTTTAAGCTTGGGGTGAGGAGTATTCTGGGCTGAATGAGTGAATATTTTAATTACATTTTTAGCTCTGTGCAGTGTTTTAGTTCCGTGAAGAGCTTGGGACAGAATGACTGTGTAAAACATTGCTCCTGAGAAATATGTACCGAGTTTGGTCCTTTACAATGAACTAGAATTGGTGCTAGACCAGATAAAAACTCAGAAGTGGTTATTTAAGCTCAATGCAGTGAAGCTCAAGTATATCATAGCTTTAAGAAGAAACTAAGACAGACCTAGTTTAAAATTTAAAGTCCCAAGTGACTTAAACCTTTTGAGGTGTTAGATACAGGGTGTAGCATGGGGCTTTAAAAAAATCTTTGAGGGTTAATTGGACAGGACGATGAGCAATTGCACAAAGTGGAAAGCAGGACTAATGCAAAAACAGTCTGTTTTGGCTGCAGTATTATGTACTTACGGTTCAGCAAGCGACCACTTTGTTAAAACCAAAACAAAATAAAGTATGATCTATCAAGACAAGATCTGGGGTCTGACTTGCCTAGTAATAAGTCATCTGGGAAGATAATATATTGTCCCAGATTTGCTTGGACTGTCCCAGCATTTGTCCTGCTGTTGGGTGTGGGGATCCTGGGATTTTTCAATGTCTGCACATAGTTCACCTGCATATTTGCAGTCCAGCGACCACTCAGCTACTGCAAGAAGCAGCCAGGAAGGTAGGTAGGGAAGGGTGTATGCATGTGGAAAGAGGGGGTTTCCATGGTCTTGGCAAGCTGGGTCATGGGGGTAGAATGGTCCTAACGGCAGTCAAAGAGAGAAAATCTGCAGTTTTAGTTAGGGACATTTTGGGAAAAGGGACTCTCAAATGAGTAAGTGGGACATGTTTGGAGTGAGGGACTTTTCAGCACAGTGTTTGTATACTGAGCTGCAAGGCAGGCCTTAGAGAGAGAAGCATGTTGAGCATTGATAGTGTTGAGAGAAGGCAGACTACAGGTGAAATATTCACTACGGAAACATAGAAGGACATAACCTTTGCTCTGGGTGATGACCAACTACTGGCTTTGTTGTCAGACAGGTAATGCTAGGTAATGTTCTGGGGACCCAGGTTTGAATACCACAAAGG